CCAAGCACTAAACCCTCGCTGGCCAAACACTAAACCCTCGCTAAACCCTAAACCCTCGCTAAACCCTGAACCCTCGCTAAACCCTAAACCCTCGCTAAACCCTAAGCCCTCGCTAAACCCTAAACCCTCGCTAAACCCTAAACCCTCGCTAAACCCTAAACCCTCGCTAAACCCTAAACCCTCGATTACTTCTCAATGGTCTCCAACAGCCCCTGGTGGTTTGCCTGGATGTGCTTCACAAAGAGCTCCTCAAACCTACACACAAACACACAAACCCCACAACTACTTCTCTAGCTAGCTAGCTAGCTAGCTAGCCAGCAAGCTAAACAGCTAGCTAGCTAGCTAGCTAAACAGCTAGCTAGCTAGCTAGCTAGCTAGCTAAACAGAAAGCTAGCTAGCTAGCTAGCTAGCTGGCTAGCTAAGCAGCTAGCTAGCTAGTCATTTAGCTAGCTAGGCAAAAAAAGCCAAACTGGAAAAAAAGATTTAAATTCAAAAGAATTGAACTAAAAAATGAAACACGATAAATAAAATAATAAAAATAATAAATAACTTAAATAAAACAAATAAAATAAAAGGAAAATAAATAAAAATAAAAATAAAATAAATAAAGATAATAAAAGTACCTGCCGATCTCTGAGGGTTGGAGAGGGTCCAAATAGCCCTTTACGCCGCAGTAAAGAATGCAGACCTATAAATAAATAAATAAATAAATAAATTAATTAATTAATATAATTAAATAATAAATAAATAAATAAATAAATAAAATTAAACAATAAATAAATAAATAAATAAATAAATAAATAACTTAAATGATTCAATTAATTTGACCTGTCTTGATTTGACTTGATTTCATTTAATTAGTTGAGTTAAATTGGCAAATAATTAATCAAATTAATTTAATTAAATTTAATTTAATTTAAAGTAATAAAAATTAATTTGAATTAAAAAAGTAAATAAATGAACAAATGGATAAGTGGCGATTGAAGTGATTGAAAGAAATGAAAAGAAAAAAAAAGAAATAAAAACGAAATAAAAAATTAAAAATAAAAAGAGTCAAAGGGGGATAAATTAAAGGGAGAAAAAGATATAAATAAAGAGAGAAAAAATGAGAGAAAAAGAGATAAAAAAAAAGAAAAAAAGGGAGACAAAGGGGATAATTAAAAAGAGGAAAAGGGAGAAAAAAAGATAAATAAAGAGAGAAGAAAGGAGATAAAAAGAGACTAAAAAGAGAGAAAAAAGGAGACAAAAGGGATAAATAAAAAGAGGAAGAAGGAGGAAAAAAAGATAAATAAAGAGAGAAAAAAAGAGACAAAAAAGACGAAAAAGAGATAAATGAAAAGAGTAAAAAGGAGACAAAAAGAGATAAATGAAAAGGGCAAACGGGAGACAAATAAAAGGACAAACAGAATAAAATAAAGGGCTAAAGGGAGCCAAAAAGAGTCAAATGAAGCATAAAAGGGACAAAAAAGGGGCCAAAAAACAACAAAAAAGGAAATTAAAAAGGGGAAAAGATGAACAAAAAAGGGAGACAGAAGAGACAAAAAAGGGGCCAAAAAGAGACAAAAAAGAGCCAAAAAAGGAACACAAAAAAGGCTAAAAAAGGAAACAAAAAAGGGGCAAAAAGGGACAAAAAATGCGTCAAAAGAGGAACAAATGAGGGACAAAAAAGGAACAAAAAAGCTCGAAAAAGAGACAAAAACGGGACAAAAAAGGGACAAAAGAGGGTCAAAAAAGAGGGGAAAGAAGGGGGACTAACCTGGAGAGGAACTGGAATTGGAGAGTTTTGTTTTTGTTTCAAAATTTCAGTCAAAGCAGTTCCTCTTGTCAAAAGTTGGCGAGTTGAAGCATCCAAGTCCGAGCTGAAGCAGCGAAGTCGTTCATTTTGCGTCGATTTTTGTTCATTTTGCGTCTATTTTTGTTCATTTTGCACTCCTTTTCATCTAATTTGCATTTATTTTTCATTATTTATCATTTATTTGCATTTAACTGGCATTTAATTGCTATTTAATTCGCTTTTGGTCGTTTTTGATTGGCAAATAGACGAAAGTTGAACTTGCCCGAACTGCGCGAAGGCCGCGACTTCTCGGAACTGCGCCAGTTCCAACTTCATCGATCCTGCGACTTGTTTCATCGCTTTTATCTGCAAACGGCGCCAAAAAAAAGAAAAAAAGAAAACAAAATTTAAATTAATTTAAATTAATTTAAATTAATTCAAATGCGCGAAAAAAAGGAGAGAAAAAGGAGCGAAAATGGGCGAAATCGGCGAAACTGAATTCAAATCCGTTCAAATTCAAGTTTCGCGAAACCTTCCGTTTTTTCCGAATTTCCCGGATTTTTCCGGCTTTTTCGAATTCTTTTTGGATTTCCGGAACTATTTTCGAAATTAAAATGAAATAAAAGGGATTAAAAGCTCCAAAAGAGCTCAAAAGGAGCTTAAAATGCAAAAAAGATTACCTGAGCCGCCGAGCCCACGCGGCTCACAGAAAGCCCCACGTTGATCGCAGGCCGAATGCCTTTGTAGAAAAGCTCCGCCTCCAAAAAGATTTGGCCGTCAGTGATGGAAATGACATTTGTGGGAATGTAGGCCGAAACATCTCCTGAAATGGCCAATTAAATCAACAAAAATGCAATAAATTGACCAAATTAATTCATTTAATTCATTTTAATTCATTTAATTCATTATAATTCATTTTAATTTCTTAAAATGGTTCAAAAATGTCGAAAAACGAGCGAAAGAACGCCTCCGAAAAGACTTGGCCATCAGTAGTGGAAATAGCCGAGACATCTTCTGAATTCAATCAATTGAGTCAATTAAATGCAATTAATTTAATTAATTTAATTCAATTTAATTGATTTATTGGATTTAATTCAATTTACTTCATTTAATTTGAACTTATTTGTTCAATTTGTTCAAAGAAGTCGAAAAAAGAAGCAATTTGGATGTCAGTGGTGGAAGTCACATTCGTCGGATATATAGGCCGAAACATTTCCTGATTAATTTAATTAATCTAATTTAATTAATTCAGTTAATTTAAATAAATCAATTAAGTCAATTAAATTAATTAATTCAAACTAATTTGACTAAGTTTAATTCAAAAGAGACAAAGGACACAAAAGAGATATAAAGAGAGACAAAAATACAAAAGAAATACAAAAGAAATAAAAAGCAAATAAAAGAAATTAAAAACAAATTAAAAAGAAATCAAAAAGCAACTCAAACAATACCTAAAGACGAATAAAAAACAATTAGAAAAGAATTAAAAACAAAACAAAAAGAATTAAGGCAATTCAGGCAACAACCAAACACAATTAAGAAGCAATTAGAAAGGAATTGCAAATAGAAGAATTAAAAATAAAAAAGAAATAAATAAAAATAAAAATAAAAATAAAAATAAAAATAATTAAAAGTACCTGCTTGTGTTTCAATAACTGGCAAAGCTGTGAGGCTTCCGCCGCCGAAGTCGGAGTTTAATTTTGCTGCTCTTTCCAGCAGCCTCGAGTGGAGATAAAAGACATCTCCTGCAGCAAAACAATTTCATTTTAATTCTTTTATTCTTTTTAATTTTAATTTAATTCTAATTTCCTTCTTTTGTCTCTCATTTGTCCTATTAATGCTTCGGAAGACCTGCGACTTTGCTGCTGCCAAATCGCTGCGCTGCTGCTGCTGCTGCTGCTGCTGCTGCTGCTGCTGCTGCTGCTGCTGCTGCGCTGCTGCTGCTGCTGCTGCTGCTGCTGCGAAGCACCTGGGTAAGCCTCTCTCCCCGGGGGTCTCCTCAGAAGAAGAGACATTTGGCGATAAGCTGTTGCTTGTTTGGAAAGGTCGTCAAATATAATTAAACAGTGCCTCCCGTTGTCTCTAAACCACTGCAGCAGCAGCAGCAGCAGCAGCAGCAGCAGCAGCAGCAGCAGCAGCAGCAGCGAGAGGCGCGAGGGGCAGCAGCAAAAGCGGCGTTCGGCAGCAGCAAGAGCAGACACAGGAAGACACAAAAGCGTATAGTAATTAATTATTCATTTTTCATTATTCATAATTTAATTCTTTATTTATATTTCTTTTTATTTATTTATTTTTATTTTTATTTTATTTTTACTTTCATTTATTCTATCCTCGCTCGCCTGCCTGAGAGCTTCTGCCAACATTTATTTGAAACTATTTGTTATAAATTAATTCAACTAATTCATGAAAGTAAATCCAGTCAAAATAATTAAATTAAGTAAATAATTAATTAAATTAATTATAATTAATTAAATAATTAATTCAATTAATTAAATTAAATCCAATTAATTAAATTAAATCCAATTAAATTAATTAAATTAATTAAATTAAATCCAATAAATTAAACCAAATGAACCAAATTAAACAAACAAGTTCCCTCCAACTATCCGCCAAACAGCTTTCTGCAGCAGCAGCTAAAAAGACAACTAGGCGGCGGAGTTTGCGCGTTGGACCACTTTTCTGGACGGAATTTTCGCGAGCTGTTCGAATTTGGGACTTTTAAAACTCCAAACTGCGAAAATTCCGTCGAAATATCCAAAAAAGGGACCAAATTACCTCCCCCATGGAGCAGCCCGCGTAGGGGGCCAAAAACTGCAGCGGCGCCGCGTCCGACGCCGTCGCCGCCACTATCGTCGTGTACTCCATCGCGCCTTCCCGCTCCAAAGTCCGCAAAATTTGCGCCTTTTCGCAAAAATAAAAGCAATTTGCAGCGCCAAAAAGAAAGTTTTGAAGCCAAATTCAAAACCGCCGAGACAAGAGATGCATTTCGCAACAAAAAGCAAAAAAAAACAAACCAAATCGAGAAAGTTACGAAACTTTAAGTCAAATTTGAGGCATTTTCACACACCAACGAAATCCCCTCCACTGGAAAATGCCCCATTCACTAGCTAGCTAGCTAGCTAGCTAGCTAGCTAGCTAGCTAGTTAAATAGATAGATAGACAGCGGTGAAGACAGCTGGCCGTAAAGAGAGCCAGCTAGCTAGCCAGCCAGTCAGCTAGCTAGCTAGCCTGCCAGCCAGCTAGCCAGCTAGCTAGCTGGCTAACAAGCCAGATAGCCAGCTAGCCAGCCAGCCAGCAAGCTAGCTAGCTGGCTAGCTAGCCAGCTTGCTAGCTAGCTAGCTGGCTAGCTAGGCAATGGAACTCACAACAGTGGATCTCTTTTGTCCAATTGCAACGTAAATACAGTAGAGTTTGTCTTTTTCCGAAGTGGCTTTTTTGTTGGTTTCTTTTTGGTTCAAAATCGTGTCCACTGAAAACAAACAACACTTTTTGTTTATAATTTATTTATTTATTTATTTATAATTTAATTGATTAATTAGTCAATTAATTAACTAGTTTAATTAATTAATTAATTGATTAACTGATCAATTAATTAATTAATTTCATTATTAATTAATCAATTAATTAATTAATTGGAGGACAAACCAGAAGTGGCATTTGATGCCCTCAAAAGAAATTTTGAAGGGAATTGCGAAAAGATGAAAAGGGATTAAAAAGAGTTTAAAAGGGATATTAAAATGAATTTAAAAAGGAGATTAAAATGACTGAAATGAATTTTAAAAAGGAACAAAAGAGAGTTTACAAAGAAGTTTAAATGGAGTTTAAAAAAGACAAAAAAGGGACAAAGAGGAGTTTAAAAAGGAATGAAAAGAAGTTTGAGCGGAGCTTAAAAGCGGTTTAAAATGCCCCCCAAAACAAGACTAAAATTGCTCAAAGAGGACTTTAAAAAAGGCTTAAAAAGGGAATAAAAAGAGCTTAAAAAGAGTTTAAAAAGAGGATTAGAAGGTGTTTAAGAGGGGCTTAAAAGGAGATGAAAAGAAGACAAAAAGGAATCCAAAAACAGCACAAAAGAGGTTTGAAAAGAGCCAAAAACAAGTCCAAAAAGAGCTAAGCGGGCGCGCGAATTGGGCGAAAAAGGGTCCAAAAGGAGCATTTTAGGTCGGAAAAAAGCGGAATTAAAGGCCCAGCAGGGGGCCCCCAAAGGGGGCCCCCAAAGGGGGCCCCCAGTGGCGCGAAAAGGGAGAAAAAAGGGTCCAAAAAAAAGCAAAAAGAGACACAAACCCGCAATGCAAGTCTTCCCCGTTTGACGATCCCCTATAATCAACTCCCGCTGGCCGCGGCCAATCGGCACCAGCGCGTCGACGCTCTTCAGCCCCGTGGCCACGGGCTCCTTCACGGACTCGCGGGGCATGATGCCTAAAAGGGCAAAAAGCGGCGAAAAAGAGGCGGAAAAAAGCGAAAAAAAGACCAAATAAACAACAATTAAACAACAATTGCAAACAGATCCAACTGCGGAGAGCTGGATGGAGAAAAGCGCAGAAAAAATGGCCAAAAAAAACCCAAAATCCACCGAAAACGAGAATCGCAAGTGCAGCCTGAAAAAGGGCTTTTAGCCGCTTTTCGAGGGTTTGCGAGGGTCTAAAAGAGGGTTTAGAGAGGGTTTAAAAAGGGTTTGGAGGGGGTTTAAACGAGGGTTTAGACGGGGTTTAGAGAGGGTTTAGAGAGGGTTTAAAAAGGGTTTGGAGAGGGTTTAAACGAGGGTTTAGAGGGGGTTTAGAGGGGGTTTAGAGAGGGTTTAGAGAGGGTTTAAAAGAGGGTTTAGAAAGCGGTTTAAAGAGGGTTTAGAGAGGGTTTAGAAAAGGGTTTGGAGAGGGTTTAAAAAGGGTTTAGAAGAGGGTTTAGACAGAGTTTAGACAAGGGTTTAGAGGGGGTTCCGATGAGGGTTTAGAAAACCCTCATGCAAAAAAAGAAAAGAAAAAAGGGACAAAAAGAATATTAAAAAGGAACAAAAAGAATATAAAAAAGGAGACAAAAAGGAGACAAAGAAAAGACAAAAGAGGAGACAAAAAGGAAAAAAAAGAAAGACAAAGAAGAGGCAAAAAGAATGTTAAAAAGGGACAAAAAGAATCCAAAAAAGGAGACAAAAAAAGACAAAAAGGTCACAAAAAGGGGACAAAAAGAATTAAAAAAAGGGACAAAAAGAAAACAAAAAATAAGCAAAAAAGAAAAGAAAAGAGGAGGGAAAAGGAGAAATTAGAAGCGAAAAAAAAGAAGAGAAAAAAAAGAAAAAAAGGAAAAGGGAAAAAGAATAAAAACGAAATATCAATTAAATGTAAATAAATAAATATAAATAAATAAATATAAATATAAACAAATACGAGTAAATATTAAGAATATAATTATATATATATGTATATATATTTCCGCAAACAAAAACTGACGCAAACCCTAATTTAGGGTTTAGGGTTTAGTACCTGGAGCCTTTACCTCGACCCTTCTCCTCTCCGTTGCTGCAATCGGCCCCTGAAGCAGCAGCAGCAAAAAGCCCTTGAAAACAAATTTAAAAAATTAAATTATATTTAAAAGAATAAATAATATATTCACAAGCCACATAAACGATAAATTAGCCAACAGTGGACCCGAAAAGCAGAAGCAGCAGAAGCAGAAGCAGCAGCAGCAGCAGCAGCAGCAGCAGCAGCAGCAGCAGCAGCAGCAGCAGCAGCAGC